TCGTGCGGGCAACGACCCAAACAGGTGAGATCCCAAAGCAGACATGTCAGAGCATGGTCCGTGTCTGAATAATGCAGAATGCAGCAGAAGCAGGGCGTTCATGCGCTTTGACGGCCATGAAAGAACAAACACCCCCTCAGCTCAGATCTCCTGTCCCTTTTATTCATGTCCGCCAACCATTAATAACTATTTAAGTAGTCAAACAGGGAGGCGGGGTGTGTGTGGGGGTGGGGGGGCGGGTTGAACCTGTAATTACTGTTAATTCATTGGGTCAGGTGTGGTTTGGAAATGATGGCTACGGGCTGGGGCCGGGTCAGATTTTTTTGGGCCTGAATGCAACTCTACCCAGGAATCCAAAAAAGTTCAATCTGGTCCTCTGGACATTAAAAAAAAAACAAAAAAAAAACAAAGCAATAAAATATAGAAACGTTTCGTCTCTCATCCAAGAGACTTCCTCAGTCTCATTTTTTGAATGTCCAGAGGACCAGATTGAACTTTTTGGGATTTTTCTACCTGGATTATTGAGCATGCATCAGGATATCTACCCAGGAAGCATCTTTATAAGATGCCCAAACCACCTCAACTGGTTCCTCTCGATGTGGAGGAGCAGCGGTTCTACTACGAGTCGCTCCTGGATAAATGAACTCCTCACCCTATCTCTAAGGAAGAGTCCAGCTACACTACGGAGGAAACTCATTTCAACCGCCTGTTCCAGAGCCCATGCTGTGCGTCGAGGTGAGCTCGACTATATCTAGTCGGTATCTCTCAACCTCATGCACAAGCTCAGACTCCTTCCCCACCAGAGAGGTTACGTTCCATGTCTCAAGCGCCAGCTTTGGTAAGCCAGGGTCAGAGCGCCAAGGCCCCACCTTTGGCCACTGCCTATGGCGTTCTGCTATATGTAGCTTTAAGCTACTGTATTGCTAATTTAAGTTTTTAAATTCTGTTTTGCTATTTTTGACCTTGGTTGAGATTGTTTCAGTTTTCTAGACTTTTGGTATTAGTTTGTAGCTTATGTTTTGCTAATTTTAGCTTTCATTTAGCAAATTTTAACTTTTAGCAAAATACTTTTTCAGTTTTTAAATTTTTAGCTACTATTTTGCTAATTGCGGTTTTAGCTAGTGTTCTGCTATATGTAGCTTTAAGCTACTGTATTGCTAAT